ACAGATACAGGACGTAAACATTTAGCATCATGCTAACCGTTCTTACTGTCCCTGATGTTCAGCTCATTACAGAGACAGCAGGTCTGGGAACAGCCACCAGATCAGAAGCGACCTGAGCTTTTTATTACTGTTTCAGTGGTTACTAACGCAGTTTAACCTCATCCACTGCCCAGACAGCCGGGTCCATCACCAGCCGGGTCCATCATCAGCCGGGTCCATCATCAGCCGGGTCCATGCAGACAGAGGCTGCAGGATGGAGCTGGGTGGAGTACTGCAGGGGGACGTCCAGACCCACCACAGGACCCACTACACTGAGCCACGTCAACACGTAGTTCACTGGTCTGCACACACACACACACACACACACACACACACACACACACACACACAGTGAACTGAAGAACATGACGTTCAGTGTGTTAGTCTAAAGAAATAACATCAGTCTTCCACTGTGTTTCTGGATTGGTGGATCCAGATCCAGGTGTGGTCCTACCTGTGCTGGTCCTGAGCCGCCTGCAGCACGGGCCTCATGAACTCCTCTGTCCTGCAGGGGTGGAGCATGAAGAAAGGCTGACCCAGCAGAGGATGCTCCTGACACACAGACAGACAGACCTCAGTGAGTGGAGCTTTAAGGAGGAAGATGATGATGATGATGATGATGGTGGTGAAGCTGCATCAGTCCTGGTTTTACCTGCTGAGTGACTGTACTGAGAGGACTGCTCTGAAGCCGGACCCTGAAGTTTGGATGAACGGAGCCCCACACCTCCTCCAGTGACAGGCTCCTCCCCTCTGAGCCACAGACATGAGGAAGAAGAAGAAGAAATATCACACAGGACGTGCTGCAACATGGTGGAGGAACCACAGGTGTAGAGCTGCCGGAGCCTCCGCAACGACGCTCCACTACGTTTATTCTCCAGAGGAAATAAAATATCTACAGTCACATGATCACGTTTATTTATCTACGTTTGAAGAAGCTGAAGATCCGATCATCACTGAAGAGTCTGTCATGGAGAGAGCTGAGAACAACACATGGTCACAGTCATTGATTGATTTCCAAACATCAATCACACATCAAGTAACACTCAATAAAACATTCCACCTTAAAAGATGGCGGCAGCTGCTGGTACTAAACTAAATCTGAACTAAATTGTTAATTAGTGAAGATGAAAAGACAGAAAATGTCTTTTCATTCATCGTTCACTGCGCTGGATTTATTCTCACTGCTACAAGTCGCCTTCGGTTTTTAATTAATTATACAAAAGAAAAGATTTTTTTCTCCCACAGTTTCATCGCATAAAAACCAAAAAACAACTGAAAACAACTTCTAAGAAAAGCTGCAGATCCAAATCCTGAAGTGAATAAACTCTATATGTGTTGTTGATTTTACAACAGCTGATTGTCAGACACGTGTGAGCAGAACTTCTTCCCGTCATTGAACAGTTTAAAGGACATATGAACTTCCTGTGTGTGGCAGTTGAACGCCACACACAGTCAGAGCGAGGTGCACTCACCCAGAGTGGAGGCTCTGAAGTAGAGCACCGGAGTCCGGTAGCTGCAGGAGAACAGGACGTGATACTCGTACTGAAGCACCTGGCTGCCGCCGTCACACGCCGCACAGACTCCCTCGTCTTCGTCGTCTTCGTCCTCTGCGTCAGATCTGATGGTGTCGGCATCAGCTGAGGCGACGGGAGCCGACTGTGGAGGAGGAGAGACAGAGGAGCTCATTAAATTAAATTAAAGATCATGTTAAAGAAGAGGCTGCTGACATCCAGTGACGTCTAGATGACTGTTGTCATGTTCGGTGGTTCACCTGTTCCTCTTCCTGTCCACAGTCTGAACTGGATCCTGCCTGGTCCCGAACCGGCCTCGGGTCAATGGCGACTGACCTGAGAGCAGTCTTCCTCAGGTAGCCCTCCTGTGAACCCTGAACCCAGATCAGAAAGTCCCGTTAACCACGGAGCAGAGCGGGCAGCGAGGCCCTGCTGTACGGTGGCCCAGAGAGCTCAAAGCCCTGCAGCTTCACAAAAACACATGGAAACAGACAAAACACAAACAACTCCAGAAAACATCGTCACACGAGCTGCAGATCCTCACAACACAACAGGAAGTGTTTCCAGGGGACACTAAAGAGTGACGACCTCCTCACCTGGACCGGCTCCCAGCTCCAGCCGTCTCCCAGCTGCTGTGACTGCTGCAGGAGGAGCTGACAGCAGCGGTGGAAGCTCTCCTCCTCCAGCACACAGGAGCTCATGTCTGCAGGAGAACAACAGTCTGAGACACATCAGAGTCTCCGTGTCTGTTAGTTTTCTATGTGAATGTACAGGTAAAAGCAGGAGGACACACAGCAAGTTCATGTAGCGTCTGTTGTTGTAGTTCTGATTTCAGCCACAAGAGGGAGCGACGTGAACAGCTGCACTGCGACTGAACAGAGCGACTGTGTCTGTTGGTTTTATTCCTACACACCTGACAGAGTCACAGGTCATTATCCCCAGAGACACACACGTCTATGTTTACCTGTATTTTGAAAGAACGCCACTTTACTTCCGCCTAAGAGTTCAGTCAGACAGTGGACCGGGCCTCTGCTGATTCTTCTCGTCCTGGTTCTGGTTCTGGTTCTGGTCCTGGTCCTGGTCCTGGACCGTCCTCCGACATGTGACCCTGCCGCGGGATTAACAGACTCGCACACCAAGACCCCGACCGGGTCCAGAGCCTCTCCACTGCCGCGGGAACAAGACAAGCGCTTCTCTTCCGGGTTGCGAAATCACGTGACTTCAACCGTGACGTCAGCTCAGCCGGTGATCCCAGCTCTCAGTCAGACAACAGACTTAAACACAGTGTGCGTTCGCAGCGCCGCGCACAGGAAGGCTGTCACAGAACCAGAACCAGAACCAGAACCAGAACCAGGTCTCATTCAGACCCGTCTGTCCTCCATTAGTCCTCAGCCTGGTGTTTGTCTCCAGCGCCGCTAGATGGCGCCAAACAGCAGCTCCACACTGAGGGACTGCAGAGTTTAGAAGAGGGTTTAACCCTCTGAGGTCTGACGACATTTCTCACTTTATTTCTTAAATTCACTTTTTAAAGGAAACTGACATATTAGATAAAACACAACTCAGAACAATCTCAGCTCCTGTTACAATAAAACAGATCATTTCACCCAAATGCTGAAAAATTGAAGTCTAGTTTTTGAAATTCTTCATATATTTTGTGAAAACAAACCTTTACCCTAAAGTGTAAAACTATTTGCATTTATTAATGAGTAACAATAAAGCTCCTTCTGCCAGTTACAGATACTAGTTACTCATTAGTAAGATTAATAAGTAGTAAGTATTAGCTTGATCTTGCCAAATAGTGAGCCTGCTTCAATGTATGAAAACTGTTTTTATAACTTGTTTATAACCAACCACGTTTATCACTGTTACCATGACGACAGAGGTCTGGTACGCCTGCAGCTGGTATGTGAGGGCAGGAGTAAATGACCTACAGGATGTGGACTCTCTGTTCTTGTCTCAGGCCACTGTGATGTAGCAGAAGTAGGCTGTCAATCAATCAGTCAATCAATCAATCACTCAATCAATCAATCAATCAATCCCTTTAAGAACCACTGAGGAAAATACTTTGACATCAGATGGCAAACAAAGACATTTATTGAAATAATGCAAAAGAAACATTAACAAGTTTTTTGTTCTCAAGCAAAATGTAAAGTTTCCACGTTGAAAAACACAGTCAACACAACGTCCTGGACCCGTCCAGGTCCAGACCGGTCCTGTACCAGTCCAGTTCTGTACCATAGTCCTGGACCAGGGCAGATCGGTCCAGATGGGTCCAGACTGGTCCTGTACTAGTCCTGTACCACAGTCCTGGACCGGTCCAGACCAGTCCAGAACAGCTGATCTCAGTTCAGACTCTTTGTTACACAGAAACCTTCAGACAGAAGAACTGAAATCCAACACACTGCTTCTTAAATCAATATGTACATTTTCTTACAGCATTTACACAGAGAAGAAGAAAACAAAGCAGGTACCACAGAAGAAGAACTCTGTCCGTCCGTCCAGGGTTAAAACACACGCACCATGTAGACACAGGGACACTGAAGGACGCTGCAGGAACTCTACAATATTCTATTAATGCTGACAGGGAGAAGCAGCGGGGGGGCCTGGGGTCTGAGGGGTCTGAGGGTGCTGGGGGGGTGGGAGTGGGGGTGGATGGGGGGCAGGAAATGCTAGCACAGCCCTGAGCTCAGAGCAAGAGGGGGGGGTCTGTCTCCTCAGCGGGCCTTCACTTCACCTCAGTGTAATGTAGGGTTCTGCCTGGGGGGGGTCGGGGTCTTCGCTTGCTTCATGTCATGTTGGCAGTTTTATGGTAACAGACACATAACTTCATATTCTATTTATTTCTATTTTCTACCTGGTGATTAACGCCTCCGACGTCTCGGTCTGACATCATCACCTGTTCACATTGGATTTGGGTTTTTTTTGCAAGGCCTCTTGGGACTGACATTTCCAGGTCTCTCCAGATGTTGGATTTGGGTTCAGGTCAGGGGTCAGGTCATCCCGTCTTCCCTCCTCCTCCTCCTGTGACACCTTATATAGACAGGTGTGTGTCCGATCAGCTGAGTTTACCACAGGTGGACGATCCAGTGTCTGGATAGTTTTTGTACAAGTGTAAACTTCGTCATGATGGAGCGCTGAGCGTTGACTGAGGAGGGAACGTTTTATCATAAAACTGCAACAACAACATGCGACAGTGACGGTGTGAAGAACCTGACTGTACCTGACAGGTGTGACGCTCATCGTAGCCTCCAGCTGTCTCAGTTTAACCCTCTGAGGTTGACGGGTGTTTCTATTAAAATCTTTGTGATAGTTCAGAGCAGAAATCTGGTTTAAATGTTGTTAGAATCTGTCGACTCTCCACTCACATATTCTTGTGTGATTATTGCATCTTTATGAACCTGTAGACTCTGATAAAAACATCTGAAGCACCAAAACGTTTCATCCACATCAGTAAAGGTTTGTTTTCACAAAATATTTGAAGAATTTCAAAAACTAAGCTTCAAGTTTTCAGCATTTGGGTGAAATGATCAGTTTATGATTCTAGAAAGAGCTGAGAACATTGTGATATAAAACATGGTGTCATGTTTAAAAGGTGGATTTTAAATGGCGTCAGACCTCAGAGGGTTAAACGCACCAACATCTTGTCTTTGTGTCTGTGACTGTAAACGCTGCAGGTGAGATGATGTGAATCAGCCGCCATGTGGATACCTGCCTCAGGTGTTGATGCCGTGTCTGAGAGTGTGTGAAGCAGAAGTGAAGCCCAGCAGGTTGTTGCTTGCAAAGTGTGGAGGGTGTTGGGGGTGGCGGGGGGGGGGGGGCAGACACGCTGACTGTGGTGCTGCATTCACACCGATATGGCTTCAGGCCTGGAGACACACGTCAGACACGTGGACAGATGACGAGGACGAAGGTGAGCTCCGCCCTCTTTACACACAGAGGCTCTTAAAGCGACAGGTGTCCTCCTGTGATTGGCTTAGAGGACAGACAGAGAGACAGCAGAGCTGGGGACATGATGGACGCAGCCCGCTGTGTCTGCACGCTGCTCCTCCTGTGTGTGTGTGTGTGTGTGTGTGTGTGTGTGTGTATCTACAGTACGACTATAAAAACCTTCAGTGGACCGTCTCTCTCTCTCTCTCTCTCTCTCTCTGTCTCTCGTCCACCTTCCTGTCCTCACCTGCACCGTGTTCGGTCACAGGTGTATCTCCGGTGCAGGTGTGTCGTCACACTCGCTCTGACTCACTGACTCTGGTTTGAAGGGAGAGTTTTGGCGTCCTGCTGGAGACCATCGATGCTCTGAGCAGAGGAACACGAGGACGCACTTGACCTTTGACCTGACCTGTAGATCAGTGTGTCGGACAGTAAAACTGCAGTCGTCCACTTCATGATCAATAACTGATCATCACATGATCACGGTCAACTTCCTGTTTCTGAGTCGGAGTCTTGTTAGTACATTTATTCATTTCCTGATTTCATTTATTCCTCTGTGTGTTTGAAGGTTGTTTTTTTTGTTGTTATTCTGATAAACATTATGATCTGATACCTGATTGGCTGAAGGGCTCTATAGGTGTGGCGTGCCCGACAGGTGAACAGGTGTTCACGAGAGCGAAGGGCAAACAAATTTTCAACCGCTACAACTTTGAAATATCGGCGACTAGTCGGCCTGCGAGTATCTTCTGTCCTCCAGCCCGACATGATGTCATCACCTCATCATTAACGTATCAATCAATCAAACATCAGAATGATGAAGACTGAAGCTTCTTCATCATGGAAACTGTTGACACCTGTCAGCAACACCTGTCTGCACAGGTGGAGCTAAATCATTAATTATAATGAATAAATCATTAAAATACGTCTGAACCGTGAAACCACATCAGCAGACGAGCGTCCCACCTGTCCTCAGAGCAGGACGCCACAACTCTCCCGCTGGTGGTGGATGAGTTAACAAAGCAGAGCAGTGACATCACAGCGTGCGTCTGTGAGATCACGTGTCCTCTCATGTGTGTCATCACACCTTCATTCACTAATCACTACATCTGTCAGACAGGAGTCTCAGAACATCTGGATTCATCACCTGATGAGTCTGTGGGACTCGTTAAGGAAGTGCTGAACGGATCAGATACACCTGGACCAGGTATCAGGTCAGTCCTCGGAGCTGGACTCGTCCTGGTCACACGGCAACACCGTCACCACGTTAGCTTAGCTTCGACAGGAGGAGGAGTCAGAGGTAAGGAGACGTCAGAGGTCAGAGGTCAAGACCAGGAGACGAGATGTCAGAGGTCAGAGGTCAAGACCAGGAGACGTCAGAGGTCAGGACCAGGAGACGAGACATCAGCGGTCAGAGGTCAAGACCAGTAGATGTCAGAGGTCAAGACCAGGAGATGTCAGAGGTCAGGACCAGGAGACGTCAGAGGTCAGAGGTCAGGACCAGGAGACGTCAGAGGTCAGAGGTCAGGACCAGGAGACGTCAGAGGTCAGAGGTCAGGACCAGGAGACGTCAGAGGTCAGAGGTCAGGACCAGGAGACGTCAGAGGTCAGAGGTCAGGACCAGGAGACGTCAGAGGTCAGAGGTCAGGACCAGGAGACGTCAGAGGTCAGAGGTCAGGACCAGGAGACGTCAGAGGTCAGAGGTCAGGACCAGGGGACTGTTCTCAGTCTTCGTTCATCCTGTCCCTCGCCTGTTGGACCCACACTGACTCTTCAGTCTCAGCTGTTCAGTCATGTGACTCTCAGCTGTTTGTACGTTGTCGACACGTGTGTGCGTCTGTGTGACGGTGCGGAGTGAACAGAACCTCAGCTCAGGTCTCCAGGTGAGCAGCTGCTTCAGAAGCCCCTCCTCTTTTTCAACACTTTAATGTTTCACTTTAAATGGATGAAACGACGTTTCACTCACCGGTCGACCTCAGTGACCCAGAACCACCGAGTGAAAACATGTTTTTAAAAACCAAAAACTGAAAGTCTTCAGACTGATCAGCTGCTTCCTGTTTGCTTTAACTCAGGCGAGTCTGGACTGAGCTGATTGGACAGAGACACACACCTGTGGAGAGACCTGCAGACGACAGTCCACAGACACTTCCTGGATCTGACAGGAAGACGGAGATAAACTGAGCAGATCCAGGTTCAGAGCTTGTACTGAAGCTGGACCCGCTGCTGAAGGGGGACCGACGAAGAACTGGATTCAGGGTCTGAAGACTTTTGTAAATGAGAGATTTAAGTTTTTGATTTTGAACGAATTTGTAAAAAAACGTATAAAAACGTATTTTAACTGCGTCTTTATGGATCGTTGAGAGAGCGAAGGGAAGGAGTGAGATTCTCTCTGAAGCCGCTGTCTGTAGGAGGACGACCAGAACCAGGTGGTACTCACTGACCCAGACCAGGTCAGAGGTCTGAAACCAGACTACACCTGAACCTGCCAACGTGTCCTCCGTCAGGCCCGGGATCCTTCGTCGTGAGGCGGTCCGCGGGTCTGTGAGTCGGTGTGAAGCGTGTCCACAGAGGAACAGTTAGTTTTACATACATGTCCCGTGTTCATGTTCCTCCTCTTGTTCCTGGTGCTCCTGCGGTTCTGGACCAGGAGGATGAGAGTCCTCGTCTCTTCGTTTCTAAACTGTTTCCTCACTGTTCGTGACCTTCTCTTCCATTCATTCGTCTGTTCACTCGGGGGTTTCAGTCCGGCCCCAGGACCGGTCTCGGACCCTGTGAGGTTCCGGTCCGTCCCTCACTTCTGAACCGCGGGGCCGTTTGTCCGTGGAGCTAAACATGTGACACTTTCTGTGTCTCTCTGGCCTGTTTGATGCTGTACAGCCACTTGATGACTCTGGCGTTTCGCTCCACGGCCGAGATGCCGTAGGGAACGCGCTCGCCGGCCTCCTCCTCCTCGTCCTCGCCCTCGTCCCCGTCCGACAGCCCGTCGTTGGAGGACCGCCGCGACCGGTCGCAGTCGGAGGAGATCATGGAGGCCGATCGGAAGTTCAGGCTGACAATGTCCGAGTTGGCTCGAGCAAAGTTCTCCGGACCGACGGCCTCCAGCTCCTCCGGGTCGAGGCCACAGTAGTTAAAAAAGCGTTCCACGTCCGCTCCGGCGCGGGCGTAGCGGTCCGACAGGTCTGATTTAGATCTGTGTAGCGAGGAGCGGCGGGCCACGGACGAGCCCAGCTCCAGCTCCAGGGTGGAGTCGGTCGAGGTGCCGGAGGGGTCTCCGAAATCACAAGGTAGCGACTGAGGGGTGGTGTTGTCGCAGTGCGAGGGGGATGGAGTCGGACGAGGGGGAGGCAGCGACAGGGAGAGTGCGGGCGGAGGCAGGGAGGCGGGGTTGGGCTTCGGGGGGAGGGGTGGAGCCGAGGAGCTGCTGGACCGGGCGGTGCGAAGCGGCTTGCCGTTGCACAGTCGCAGGAGGTCGGAGGAGGAGTGGGAGGTGAGCAGAGGCGGCAGGGGGGAGCGAGAGCGGTCGATCACTCCTCCCTCGCCCCCCCGCTCGTCCAGGACTCGTCTGCTCAGGTTGAGGTTGGCGCCCTGCGGACTGCGGCGCCCCCCGCTGTTGATGGGCGGGACCTTCAGGGAATGGGAGAAGGAGCGCAGGGAGTGCGAGGTGCTCGGGCTGGGAGCCGAGTCTGTCGGCTGCTCGTTCAGCGCCATCGTAGACCGGTACGTTAACGGCATCCTGAGAAAACACAAACACAGTCGAGTCAAATCCAGAGTCCAGGTCCATTCACAGATTCATCACACAGAGAATATTACAGCTCCATGTTCTCTTCTTCTTCTGTGCTTTATTTGAAGTGCTGGTCCATCAGAAGATGGATGAGTGGTTTTAACCCTCTGGAGTCTTTCTCCACACACACATGGAGTGTGTAAATCTGAAATAATCTTTAGTTATAATTATTCAGAATATGATCAAACAACAGTTTAAGGTTGTAAAAATGATTGTTTCATGTTCATACAAATGAAAACACCTGAAAGTGGAAGAAGTAAAGCTCTAAAGTTACAGTCTACACGTAAAGCAAGTTTATAAATCCAACTGAATATATTAATTAATGTTAGAAACTCACTATTTTAAAACCTGATTTTAATAAATGAACCTCACGTGCCACATCTCAGCTCGTCTCTACACGACCATATAAATAAAGTTACATTCATGTAAATAAAACACGTTCATCGTGTTCTCCAATGAAAAACCAGACTCCAGAGGGTTAATCCCAAAAACCATCTCAGTGTAGTTTTACATCTCCTCTCTCAGGCTTCTCTCTGGAGCTCTAGTAACAACAGGTCGGGGAGCCAATCAGAAGAGAGGAGGCTCTGAGCCTCAGGTTGGGAACCACTGACTTAGACCTGGGATGATGGATTATCTTTTCGTTAATGAGTCTAAGTATGAATGAACCTTAAGGAACCTAAATGTGATCAGGTGATCACAGTCATGGCTCATGAGTTTACCCTGATGGTGTCCAGCTCCTGGCCATTCCTCCTGACGACCTCATCATCACGGCACTCTTAGCTCCTCCTCCTCGCCCCTCGGCCCCGGAGGAGGAGGAGGAGTTCAGCAGGTTTTTCAGGATCTCCAGGTTTAAATTCTCCCGTTTGCTGCTGCCGCTGCTCGTCGCGCACGTGTCCGACTTGGCGTTGTTGTTGGACGCTTTGAAAGGGATCCCGCCTCCGTTTCCTCCTCCGCCAATCCCAGAACCTCTCTTGGACAGGAGGGCGTGGCCGACGGGAGGCTTGGCCAACACGGGCGGTTTGATTGGCTCCTGCTTGGCGTTGATAACTTCCTGGCTCTTGACATACTTCGCTTTGTCGGCTTCTAGTCGCTCAACAGCACTGAGGCGCTTCGGGTTCGGTTCCACCTGAGACACAGAGCGAACGCACGTCAGTGAACACAACATGTCAGTGAACACAACACTCATCCAGTGTCTACACACTGAAGAGACTAAAATGTCCAGAGTTTGTTCACGTGTCAGTGAACACAACAAAAACTAATAAAGTCTAAATCCAAGAATTATTAACACGTTAGTCTGTGATGGATACAACCCTCACTACTTCACTCAGTCACACACACACACACACACACACACACACACACACACACACACACACAGTGATGTAACAGCACCTGTCTCCTGAAGTAGTCCGGGCCCTTGTTGAGGATGCGGAGGGGTACAGCGGAGCTGAAGGGCGTCGCGGGGCCAGCGGCCTTGCTATCTGGCAGGGCTGGAGCCAGTGTCTCTGTCGGCATGGCAACGAGGCGACTGGGGTGGCCGGCCGTGGTGGCAGCAGGTGCGGGGGGGTCGACAGAGGGCAGGGGCACCGGAGGACCCCCAAAACATGAAGACACAAGGTGAAGAAGAGAGAGTCTAGAAAGAGGTGACGCCCCTCACCCTCCTCATGGCCTGTGGGACCCTGGGACTGAGCCACACTCTGGGCTGGGGGGTGGGGGGGTGGTGGGGGTGGGGGGCTGCTGAGGTCCTGCAGTCAACGTGCTACTGCATCGCTGGAGCAGGACCGACTGGGAACAACTGGTTTCACTGGTCTTCACCCACAGGTCCCTACTGGTGTGTGGCGCTCAGGTTCTGACCTACTGGAGAATTCCTCAGTGCAGCGGTGTGGATGACTGGCTCCGCTGGGCCCAAGGAGAAGCAGAGGATGATGGGAAATTAAAGCCCCCGCCGCCCCCTCCACCGTCTCTTCGGCTCTGTTCAGTGAGCTGCACGACCGGAGATCAGCAAACACAACAGAGAGAGAGAGAGAGGGGGAGAGAGAGAGAGAGACAGCCAATGGGGTTAGAGTCAGGCTGTGACATCACACACCTAGCAACAATAGCAGGAATAGCAGGACACACAATTACACTTCGATCATTGTGTACGCAGGCAGGGGCACACACACACACACACACACACACACACACACACACACACCTCTCTTTGTGGGGACCTGTTATTTATATAATACAAACCTCAACCGTTAAAACTGAATGCCTAAACCTGACCCCTGACCCCTGACCTGAACCTGGACCATTTAAAACCATAGAACACACACACACACACACACACACACACACACACACACACACACACACACACACACACCTCTGTCAGTGTGAACCTGTCCGACCCGGATGTTTTCATTTTCTTAATTTTTCCACATAAACTCAGTCAGAGGAACCTTTAGTTAATTCTCTTCACCTCGGTCACTGAGGTCTGTGCAACAGTTGAACTGAGTTTAAGTGATTCCTTCAGGATAAGACTCAGATAAGGAGAAAACACTTTAACGAAAATCTTGTCTCAAGTTGACGTCACCCACAGGTTTCTGAAGCTCGGAGTGAGCTGCTCCTCCGTTGCCATCTTGGCAGTGTCTGACTCCGCCCCCTAACTCCCAGATAATCCAAAAATGGTCAAAGAGGAGGAGCCTGTGTGGGGCTGAGACTTCGGTTCATGACGGTTTGTGGTGAGTATACGCTCACCCACCTGTCAATCAAAGAGGCCACGCCCAATCCTCCAAAACTTTAATCCTTAATAAAATGTAAACAGGTGAGTTTTATAAACAGGTGAGTTATATAAACAGGTGTCATGAAGGAGGAAATTAGCTCTAGAGACCGTAAGTGTTTTGGCACCAGGCTGTAAACATGTTTATTTCTGCTGTAAAGTTGGACATTTTAACATGGGAGTCTATGGGGACTGACTCAATGTTGGAGCCAGACTCTAGTGGTCGTTAGAGGAACTGCAGCTTCTGGTTCTTCAGTGTTGATGCTTCATTTTTGCCTGTTGGGAAACACCTGACAGTTCACTTTTATACTCACTGCTGGCTGAAGAAGAAACATCAGTGTGGTGTTACTAACCCTGGCTCCTATAGTGGTGCATTCACTGACATGTTTCTGTGCTCAGACAAAAATAAAACCAGCTTTCTGCAAAAACCTGAACCCGCCTCACAGAGAAGGAAAAAACAAGTGAAACAACAGACAAACAGTACGACAGTGACAGTAGTCTGCTGTTTCCCTCCGATGAGAACAGAGACAGAAGTAGGTCAGAGGGACCAGAGGCATTGTGGGAAATCTGCTGACTCATGCAAACCAACTATCGTCGTGTTAAGTGGTGAAATAAACAGTGGTTTAACATCATCAGCTTTTCATTACCGACAGATCCGTGGTGCTGTGATGTGCTGAGTCATCCTCCAGTGAAGCTCCTGTACATCAGCTCCACTCACGGTTCAGATGACCTGCTCTCTCACACTGCTTTATTTTAATCACATCTTTCTCTGCTTCTGTTTCTACACTGTACATCGTCTGAGCTATAACTTCCATCATGGTTATCATAGTTTTACAGTAACAACACGACTAATTAGTATTAAAGAAACACAGCAAGTTAACATCATGTCTGTTTTCTTAACTGTCAATGCTAACTGCCCTAACCGTTCTGTACAGATGCTAACTATCTAACTTTTCTCAAAAGATGCTAACTACACTAACGGTTCTGACCCGTCTGCTAGTCTTTGGTTCTGGTCTCAGACTCCTCCTCTGAGTCTGGGTCTGACTGAGGCTCACACATGTGGCTGAGTCTCTCTGATGTTTCCTCCTCTGACCATCTTGATGCTCTCTGCTCTTTCACCTGTCCACCTGGAGCCAGCAGGTGGTGGGCGGGGCTCAAGGCCTGATCCAGATTTCTCAATCAGGAAGTAAGTGGAGACGAGCTTCAGACCCAGTTTTTGATTTTCTTCTCTGTCGTCCTCTGAGATTTTAATGTATGTGATGTCACAGTCTGAATTAATATTGTTTTTAAACCAGTTCAGTTCTATTCTATTCCTACAGCCTCCTGTAATCACACACTCACACACACACACACACACACACACACGCACACACACACAGTGGATTATGTACAGTCTTTTCTAATCTGTGGATTGGAATATTAATTATGAATATGATGGCTGGTGGTTTGCGTGTGTTGGATTGATAAAGATCATCTACACTACCATCCAAATCTGTCCCCCGCAGAGAGGAGGCTCAAGTCCCTCTGCTGCAGGTTCATGTGAAATGCATGCTGGGATACTGAGCAACCCCAAAGTCCAAACACCAGGTGAAGACAACGAGAGCTCGGTCAGTGTGAGCTGCTTCTCATGAGACAGAACCAGAACACATCGACCAACCTGAGCCTCTGCTCAACAACCTGAGAGACGCAACATGTCTCCTGGTTCCAGGTTCAGATACTGATGCAGTTACTGGATTAGTTCCTGCTCCTGGTTCTGGTCCTGGTCTGCTGGACCGACAGTAAGGTCAGGTCAGATCAATAACCGTCTTGTTCCTTCATGGCTGTTCTGTAACATTGTCTTTTACTTCCATTGAGTCTTTTTCTTTAATCAGTGTGAGTCATTACACAGAGACAGTGTTGTCATAGTTACCAGTTTGGCTCCCGCCGTGCTCTGATCGTTTTCTATTGGCTCTCAGAGGTGGACGTGTCCCCCTTCTCCTCCAGGTGCTGCAGGTTGTCAGCAGGTGCCACAGCTGTCAATCAAAGAGACACATGACACAGTGTTAGAGAGGAATGATCCAGAGCAACAGTCAGAGCCTGAGTCAGCGTCTGGGACTTTGATAGGACAACATTTTATTTTGTATGTTGGATAAAGGATAAGACCTCTGATTCCAGACCTCCAATTCAAGAACCT